ATACCACGCATAAGCAGCAGTTCAACAGCAAATGCTCCTCGCTGAGGAGTTTTCATCCCACCTCCCTCTCTGCACCAATTAAGATGAATCAGCCAAAAGCCCATTTCTCTGAACCACCTACGGGGTGAGCAAAGGTCCTGTCATTACGCAGATGAAAGAGCAGCTCAGCAGCTTTGATGGCTGCCCTTCCTCAGATCACCCACCAGGACCCCTTCTCCACCCCACACGGCCCTGACGGGCAGGGGAGCAGTGCTGCCAACCCCGTTGCCAGCCCCGACCGTTATGGAAAGCGGCTCTGGGAAACAGGAGGCTGATGCACTTTTTTTTTTCCCCATCAACGAGGATCAATAATCTGTTGGCCATGCATCAAGAGCTTGACTCATCCCCAGGAGAAAGCACGACGTGGGAAGGTTTCTGATCAGCGCGGCTCGGTCCAAGGGCTTTAGTGCCTTCAAAATGTACCAACGTGCAGGCTTTATGTTCCCATCTCTCCAGGATGCTGACGCAGAAGCAACAGGCAGGGACAGAGCCCCATCAGAGCCTCCAGCTGCTCAAACAACTTCCTATGCGGGGAGAGGTATTGCTCGTACACACCCCCAAACTATAGACTGAGATGGTCCTACCTCCTTCAGCCACAAGCTCCTACCACATCCCTCTGAGGCTCAGCAGGCTGGTGTTCAGTGGAAGGTGAAGTTCAGAGAAGCTCATGAAGTTCAGCAAAGTCCCAGATGTGAGGCTGAATGACCCCATGCAACAGAGCAGGCTGGAGAGGAGCAGGCTAAGGGGGATCGAGTTGTTGCCTTCAGCTATTTTATGGAGGATGGAGAAACCAGAGCCAGACTCTCCTTGGAGGTGCTCAGAGAAAGGACAAGCAGCTGGTTACAAGATGCAACAAGGGAAATTCCAACCAGACATAAGGAAGGAAAAAAAAAGTTTGCTGTGTTAACTGCCAAAACAGGGACCCTGAGATATGGTGGAGGAATCTCCCTCCCTGGAGATATTGACATTTGGCTGGAGAAGGTCCTGAGCAACCCAGTCAAAGTTGGCCCTCCTTTGAGCAGAAGGTTGGACTCGAGCCCTCCAGAGACCCTCCCAATCTCAGCATTTCTGAGAAGAGGCTGGGCATGGGCAGCAGATGCTAAAGCAAGATAAGAGGAACTTCTCACTACCTCCTACCACCCAGAGGTTTATCTTATCAAACAGCCACAGTATCGTACTGTCCTTGTACCATCACACAACACAGGACATCCCCAGCCTGCAGGCAGGGAGACAAAGTCTCCAGCCCCCAGAAGGTTTTTTTTAAGCATCATTATGTAACTAGAGCAGCCCTAAGCCCATCCCAGTATCAGCGTGAGCAGTCAGCTTTGTTCCTGGTAAATTTACCTTGAGGTCTCCTCCCAACCAATATGAACAACAGGCTTTTATGAAAAGCACATTAGTAACCCGAGAAGTTATGGGGGAAGGTACCACTTCTGGTTTTGCCTGAAACCAGATCTTCCCTTTTGGCAATTTTTTTTTCATTTTAAAATAAAAAAAAAAAAAGGAAGTAATTGCAAAGGAAAAATTCTAAACTTTCGACTTTGCATTTCACTGGTCAAATACTGGCAAAAATGCTAGTATGTTGACTTTGGGCTACCAAGTGTCTTAGGCATCAAAGCACAGGCTTTTATGTGCCTACAGAAAAGGCACTTCATTGGAGAAGCTGAGTTGAAAACATCCCTGGAAGGGCCAAGGCAGGTACGGTTCAACTGAATATGCCAGTATTGCTTGGAGTCACCAAATAACCCCAAACTGTTGGGCTGGGAGAGGAATCCTGTTACTCAGAGGTGTCTGTGATGGGGGTGTGGTCCTGCTCCACAGGGTCCTGAGCAGTGGAAAATCCCTGGCAGGTTGGGCATTAGGCCAGACTGCTGCTTCGTGCCACTGATGTCAATGGCGAGCAGTTCAACTTCTCCAACCTGTATCTCATCACTTGCTTATGGCCAAGGGCCAGGAGTACACTCCCCAAACTTACCAGCCTCTCTTTAAAGCTTAGCTCTTTCAAACACATTGTGTTACTCAACCCAGTATGAGTTATCTGATACCAGGCAAAACACATGAACTCTCCACCTTGCTTTTGCTTCATACCTCCCATGCACTTGGATTTCCAATCTTGGTTTCACTAAGCTTTTTGACAGAAACGGTCAAGCCCCATAGAACTGGTTTATAGGGCAACACAATTCAGGGTAACACCCTTTGGGGAAAGGACGTTTCATTTACGCTCCTACAGAATGGCCAATAATTGCTATTTAGCTGACACTGGCAGGTCTTTGCAGTCCTGACATCCAGAGCATCTGAGCATGGTCAACGAGTCTTTCAATACTAGCACAGAGCCCATCTGCCAGCTTGGCCCTTCTCATCTGCTGCAGCACAAGAGGCAAACACAAGACCTCCAGCTTCATTAGCTGAGCTCTCGCTGGAGTTGAACCACCTCAATTTTGCTCCAAGCATGGCCTTTTGGAGAGAAGCAGGATGCGTTGATAGAGACAGGAGAGCTGTTGAGGAAAGCTGTAGATGAGGCGCTTAGGGACATGGTTTAGTGGGCATGATGGTGTTGGGTTGATGGTTGGACTTAATGATCTTGGAGGTCTTTTCCAACCTTAATGATTCTATGAAATATTGGCAGCACCCACTTTGTGGATCTACCTCCCCAGCAAAAACAGGGTGAGCATGGACAGGACTATGTGGACCCAGCCTTTCCACCCCATTAACCCAGCAGCTAGCCAAGGATCACAGCACTGATGAGAACCTGCTGGAGGAGAGGCCAAGGACCAAGTTACTCATTTCACCTCAAAGATGCAGCAGGATTTTTCCACTGCTCCCCCAGCAGCTGTTCAAACTGCTGCAGCTGCTCTTACTAATGCAGCTCCTTTTATCTCACATGGTGCTTGACAGACTTTATCCTCTAGGAAATACTTAAAGAAAAAAATAATCTATTGGTTCAATGGGAACACCCATAGTGCTCATCCAATTGCATCTTGCTCCTTTTTTCTGCTACTGGAAAACAGGAGTACTGTTTCACTAGGGGCTTGGCTAGAATTACTCCCTTAGTTGGGATGGAACAAACTCTCCACCGCAGTTAGCGGCGAATATTCACTTTAACCTCTTTTGAAAGCCAGAAAGCATTTGGCAAGGTGGGCAGAAAAACATCTTCATCCATTGGGACCAAACTGGTTACCTCTGTTTCACAGGTACAAATCCAACACAAGGGTCAAGGCATGCTTGGCAGCTCCTGCCCATTGCTCGCGCAGCTGATAACTGGTCTACCTTTGCCAGAAAAATAAATCTTGCCACCGTTCAGATTGATTTAGATCCCTGTCTTAGGAGTCAGTTGCCTCATTAAAAGCAACATGAGCTCTTTTTCTTGCAGAAAAAGTCTAGTTAGAGTTTCATAAGCTGCCACATCTCAGCCAAGTCGTGGAGCACGCCCCAGTGCGGATGCAAGATAAAACAGCATTGGCTTCATCCATGCATTTTCCCTTTACATTTGTCACGACTCTGCTATCATGCAGCAATTCAATTTTGGTGGCTCAGTTTTGCAAACGGGCTCTTAGGGACCAAGCACAAATGGTTTTTGAGATCTGCAGGCAGGCTCTTTGCTTGGAGGCAAAGGACTTCCCATCAAGCCTAATCCCCTGCAGACAACTGAGCATGCACAGACCCCATTATAGAGACCGAGCCCTGGCTCCGAGCTCTGCACATCAGCTCACAAGCAGAACCGCACCTTGGATGAGTTGCAAAAAGCCTCCAGTCATCGATACTCAGAAAAATCACTTCCAGTTTTAATGAAATGCATTTCAAGTACCTGACTTCCAGCCAAAATAGCAATAGTTTAAACACAAGGACAAGTGGCTGTAAATGAACACATGGAAAGCACCGAGAGCTTTGGACTGTAGCGACCTGAACATCAGCCCTGAGATGCCAAGAAGGCTTTGCTGCCAATGCAACAGCTTGCTTACACCTGAGATTCACTGGCATGTAGGCTAACTGTTGCCAGTACATGCTGATATAGCTTTTTTTTTTTTCTCTCCTCTGAAAAGCAGCCAATTATGCAACAAGCACCAGCAGTTTATGCTATCGGTCCCCGCCTGCTCCATGCCCCGCAGGAACAGACTGGGGAAGACGCAGCCTGATAACGAAGCTGTCATCCCAACACAGGCACAGCTCCATCAAGATTGGTACCATTCCCCAGCACGCTCACATCCCACCGGAGCCTCGTCCAGCCCCACAGCCAGCATCATCCTTTCCCATTGCTAAATCTGTGGCTGGACAGTTTCGTTTCTGCTACGGCCACAGCCAACTGAAGCAAATAGGGGAAAGAAAGTATGGCCCCAAATGAGATGTCCTCTCCCAGACCAAGGTTTAACCACATAGGGGTGATTAAAGTACACTTTGCACATGCCAAGGTGAATTGCATCCCTCCAATGTGAAACCTGCTTTTTAATCCAGCATCTTCCCCTCCCCCTCCTTCTCCTTCCATGACATTCGCTCCCTCCCACAACATTTTTCCATTTTGATTATGTTCGTGCAATTGCACGATTTTCTCCTCTCCTGGAGGTGAAAGGGCACAAAATAGCCTGGCATGTAAAACCCGGAGATTTTTCCCTTCCTCCCAATGCATCCCTGACCCAAGCCCAGGTCTTCTACGGCAGCTGCCTGTTTCGGTGCTGTCATTGCCTTCTGTTTCCCCATCAAGCCAATTCAGAGAGTCTGAAAAGGGCAGCACAGCTCCACTACATCAAGGAGATAGGATTAGACCTAATCTTGTTTATCAGCACAATTAAGGCTTTCATTCAATCTTCTTCCCGGACTCCGGACTCCGGAGGAGGAAAGAAAAGATCCAAAGCAATTGGCAACTCTGAAGAGGAATTAAAAGTTCACATCAAAAGTCACTGCAGTCAGGATGTGTGTCACAAGTCAGCAATACCTGTTTCAACTAGAAACCGGGTGTTTTCTTTTGTATACAAAAAAAGGCACAAAATACCCGTATCAAACTCTTTCATTAGACAACCCCCCAGCCCCACCCCTGCAACTGCAGCAGCACATAAAAAAATCCCTTTCCAACAGCACCAAACGAGCACGAGGTAACATGAAAGGCACTGTCTCAGAATTCAAAGTCCTCATCGGCCATGTCAATCGCCCAGGCAAACTTCTCCCTCTGCGTCTTGTTGTAGATCTTCTCGATGGGCACGCCAAACTTCTTGCACCTGCACAGAGCACAAGCAAGCCATGGGGATGTGCTACCCATCCCGCTCTGCTCCCACCATAGAGGTCCTCTCTGCTCAGGGTGCAGCACCTTTTACCCATGCAGACTCCTTAGCCCCAAGCTCCTTAAGAAATTACCTTCGCGCCACTGTCGATAACAATGTGCAAAATCATAGAATCATAGAATAGAATCATAGAATCATTAAGGTTGGAGAAGACCTCTAAGATCATCGAGTCCAACCATCAACCCAACACCACCATGCCCACTAAACCATCTCCCTAAGCGCCTCATCTACACGTCTGTTAAATACTTCCAGGGATGGGGACTCCACCACTTCCCTGGGCAGCCTGTTCCAAGGCCTGACCACTCTTTCAGGAAAGAAATTTTTTCCTAATGTCCAGTCTAAACCTCCCTTGGCGCAACTTGAGGCCATTTCCTCTCATCATATCGCTTGTTACTTGGGAGAAGAGACTGACGGCCACCTCGCTACAACCTCCTTTCAGGTAGTTGTAGAGCGCGATGAGGTCTCCCCTCAACCTCCTCTTCTCCAGGCTAAACAGTCCCAGTGCCCTCAGCTGCTCCTCATCAGGCTTGTGCTCCAGGCCCTTCACCAGCTTCGTTGCCCTTCTCTGGACACGCTCCAGCACCTCAATGTCCTTCTTGTCGTGAGGGGCCCAAAACTGAACACAGGATTCAAGATGCGGCCTCACCAGGGCCGAATACAGGGGCACGATCACCTCCCTACTCCTGCTGGCCACACTATTTCTGATATGACCCCTTCTTGCCCTGAACCCAGAAGGAACATCCTGCAAAAAGTTATCTGCAGCAAGGGAAGCCTCAGCTTTGGATTTTGCTCACCTCCCCCAACACATTCAAGGCTTGGACAGGTTTCTCTGGCCAAAGTTTATTCCTTTGCCCCAAAGGCTCAGGGCTTTGGCATGTGTTCATCCCCCTCCCCAAGCAGTGCTAGGTGATCTGCACGTCTCTAGAGAAGCATCTGCCCCATAGCATGCCCAAGACGTACCAGGCTATGCTAATCCTGGGGTCCAGGTAATTCAGCTTGGACGTGCCCAGAGCTATCTGCTTGTTCTCCTCCTTGTCTGTGGCCTGGACGTTCAGCTTGGCCAGCTGCTCTTCCAGCCGCTTCAACAGCTTCTTTTTCTTCTCCACATTGCTGAGGACAGAGGAAAACCAACGCAGACAGCATGTTAAAGGGGAAAAGAAGCAGCACAGGTAAAATACAGAGCAGTTCTCCTTATCTGCTGCTGCCTGGGAGCATGATGTGAAGCTAATGAGCTTCAACTCAGAGCAGTCTCTACACTCACCTTAAGTCCTATAAGGCCTGAGCCTAGAAATACTCCAGAATGGCAAAGTGGAAGATGCCATTCAGCACTAACCTATTTGAAGTACTTTAACCTGATAAGACACTTCTGTTTTGTTTTTTAAATTATTATTACCAAAGTTGAGCAAGCACAAAAGCCAGCACCCAGCAGAGACCATCTCCTCAAATTCAGGCTCCATGAGCAATGACCATCTCTGACCACCTCAGCAACACAGGGCATGAGCAGAAAACAAACGCCAGAGTACAACATAAAATACAAGCCTTGTTTCTCTCCTCCAACCTCCTTCTGTCTTTAAGCAGCAAGTTCCATTTGGGCTCTGGGAGGTAGGAGCAAATTTGAACAGAGCCCATGCAATGACTACTGCAGAGATCAGACAAGCCACAATCCACCACTGGAGTGTCCCACGAGAAAACCATGTATCAGGGCTAGTCTGTGTATCCCCAGGTCCAACCCCAAGCTAGGCATCCTTTGCACCATGGCATTTGTAGGATAACTCCAAGCCAGCAGCTTGGGTTGAAGTCTGAGTATTCAGAGAGATGTGCCCTATCCCAAAGAAACCCCCCTGAAGGAGCTCTTTCCAATCCTGCTCTTGCAAAGAACCATCCACAAGACCTCCACTCATCTGCCAGGCCACCATGGGACAGGAGGCACCTGGTACCCAAGAAGGGCATGTCAGTTCTGCTGAGCTGCGTAGGGTGTCGGACCACACCATCCCCATCCACAGGCCCTCTACACAAGAGTATCATTAGGAAGAGTCACTCACGCTTCTGCTTTGGCATCTTTTGTGTCTTTGAACTCATCTTCAGCTTTTTTCAGCTCTTGCTGGGCTTCCTCCACCTGCTGCTTCTTGGCATCGATCTGTGAAGGTAAATACAAAGTCAGCCCATGCTCCTGTCCTCCCTGGAGGTTTCAGCTGCCTCCGTCTTTCCCTTTTCTTTGCCATACCACTCCAATTTCTAGCCCTACTCCAGTCCCAACAACTTGCCCCTGCAGCATCTGCTGGAGCTCAAGCATTTCTTAGCATCTTGCCAAAGTTCCTCACAGTACTGATGCCAGAAACATCTGCAGCTTTTATCTGTTCATCTCATGCAACTGCCAGAGACTGACTGGCTCGTGGCAGTGCTGCAGCCCACTGCAAAGTCCCAAGCTCACCAGCAGAGTATGAACAAAAGTTGAGGAAAAGTAAAAGTGGTAGTTTGAGGTATTTCCATAGCAGACCCATGAAATTTCAGCTGGTCCTCCTGCAAACAGCCAGACAGGAAAACCAAATTCCCTGGTCCCAAGCCAACTGCGTCAAAGCTGTGCCATCGCAAAAGGCACCCAGCTTAGTTTGAAGACACAAAGCGATGAAAAAAACCTCTGTGCCAAGTGTGCTTCATCCAGCATTTGAGCTTCCCCCATCCCTCTCCACCCCTGGGTTGCTTATGTCTCTGTACTGATAAAAAAAACCCACTATTCCTGGTTTATTCCCTTCCATGCTTGATCAATGTGATCTCTTTAGGCATCAGGTTATTCACCCTCTCCCCCATCCAAAAAAAAAAAAAAAAAAAAAAAGATCAGAGGTGAGATTAGGTCTGGGGGCTTTCAGTTTGGTCTGTCTCACCTTGGTCTGGAGGTTTTGCATCGACTTCTCAAAGGTTTTTGGTGTAGACCTCTGATGGTTGCACAGGATGGCCACAGCTCGGTTAGCTCGGTTGTAGGAGAGGAGCTTTCCTGCAACATTGTCTTCAGCTGGAAATAAATGGAAGCATAACTATGTCTTCTTTCTGGGAGTTGGGAAGGCAGGGAACAGACCAGAACAACAGCAAGTTGTTTCCCTTTCCCATCCTTTCTCAGGGGAAAGCAAATTTGTGGAAATTGGTGAAGGACACTTGAGCGTCACCAAATCTGATACTGTGCCTCATCACTCATTTATCCAAGGCAGGCAGAAATAACGCAATGCAAGGAAGGGGGAAAAAGAAATACTCTCATCTTGTCTATCAGTTAGACTATCGCTGAGTGGGTAACTATTTCTCACTCAGCATGGTTCCCAACCTGCTACATGCCCCCGTAAGTTACATACCACCCTACAACATGGTGCATCACCTGCCCAGGAGGGGCAGGCAGTTCTAGGGACCCCAAGGCGATGGATGGACATTGCTGAGCCCGCTGGCTGCACAAATAGCTGGTGATACCACGAAGACTGTTAGTAACTTACAGTTAGTGAGTGCCTTGAGCTGCTCCTGCAGGGTGATGGAGGCGTTGTAGGTCCTGAACACTTTGGCAGTCAAACCATCCATCAGACTCTGGAGGTGTCTGTTCAAGATGGATGTCTGGAGGAAGGAAGATAAGACAAAGTGGGAGGAAAAAAGGAAGGAAGGAAGAGAACAAGCAGAAGCCAGGACAATAAAGCACTTGCTTTTCCGACCACCTTCTGCCTAAGCAACCAAATTAGGCATTAAAAAAAAATCTGTAGCTTGCAGATCTACTTGTTGGGTCAGGCCCTTATCTACCAAAAACTAGCACAAATTCCACATAAACCCACAAAGAATTTCTCTGGAAGTCAACAATTTCTGCCCATTTATGTCCAAGAGGACACATCTCGCATCCAATATCACATCTTGCATATATCACATCCGATATCTCTGTTTTAGAGAGCACATGGGGCTGCAGTTGGACTGGAAATAGAAGATGCTAAGAAGAGTCATCTGGGGTTTAGAAGAAGCTTTACTTGTACCAAGAAAGCCTGCCACAGATAAATCCTATACAACCAGAGAGAAGCAGCCTCTTCAGAGGAAGGATGGGCAAGTGGCTTTGTAGGGGATGCAGGCAGAGGGGGAGCATGGGTGGCAGCACCCCATATCCCCTACTGAGGAAGACCAGAGAGGAGCAGCCTCTTCAGAGGAAAGGCTTTGTAGGGGATGCAGGCAGAGGGGGAGCATGGGTGGCAGCACCCCATATCCCCTACTGAGGAAGAGGAGGGAAGAGGTTTTTGCAGGGGAGTAGCTTGAGGAAAGGCTGCAGCACATCTCTCCAGCATCCCTGTGCTCCGGCAGCCTCTCACACTTCTGCTGAGCCCTGGCGAGGTGCGAAAGCATCAAACGACTGAGGTTTGACACCTCCAGCAATGCCCCCGAGCAACATGTGCGTGGGCAGGCCTTCCTAGGCTAAAAAAATCCCAAGCAGATGAGTTAGAGGAGGGAAGGAGCAGAAAGCCACCTCCTTAGCAGGGACATGGGTTACCGGTGGGTGCAGGCAGGCAGCCAAGCCTGCATTCAGAGAAGCAGAGATGCCACCAGTGCAGAAAGAGGATGGAAAAAAAATATCACAGCATCCCAAGAGGGTGTTCGAACAATTACAGTGGTGTCTCTGGAGGGGAGATAGTTAAAACCAGGGAAAGGGATGACACCACAGCCCAGGAACCTGCAGGCTGGACAGGGGTGTCACAGGTTAGCTTCTACTCCCTCTGGGCCATCAGTGCCGTTTCAAAAGCTTAGAAGTGACAACTCACATTGAGCCTGTCAAAGAGGTCATCTGCTGGGTCCTTGTTCTTCATGAACAGCTGCAGGTTCTTGAACACCTAAAGAGGAGGAAAGGAGAGCCCTGGTCAGGGACAAGGAGCACATTGCTCCCAGACATCTTCCTCATCTCCATCTGCCTCCTCATCCAGATAAACTCTGATTCAGACTCGTGTAATACACACCCTACCACACCACCAACCTTCAACTTCAAGGGCTGCCACTGGGACCTCAAAGCCACTGGTGCCACAGGTTGTTTTCCCCCCCATCTCTATCCCTGGCACTCCTGTTTCCCCACAAACACCATTAAAATCATCTATCCTATGGGCAAAGCAAAAAATAAAATGTGAATGGGGACAGCTCAAGTCCTAACACCCACCAGTCAACTGAGGATGCTCCAGCACAAGGCAGGACTTCTCTCTCATGGTTCATGGGCTAGAAGAACCTTGAAAGCCCTATCTCAAAGTTTCTCCCCCTTCTCCAGGCCAAGGTCAGCATATGCGTGTCCTCATCACCCAGCACTGTTGCATCTCACACACATGCTGCCACCGTGGTGTTAAAGCACAGGAGGCATCTTTGCAATGGATTTTAGATGCAGATTTGGTACTGATGACCACTGAGTGAACCGAGCCACCCAGCTAACTCTGCACCAAATTGCCATGCCGGCCGCTGCCTCCATTTCTGCCCCACTCACCAGCTTCTCCACCGACACTTTGTTGTAGTAACGGATCGAGTCTTTCCCAAGGAAGTCGAACTCCACCACGTGCTCCTGCCCATCCAGCTTGTCGTGCAGCTTGATGTGCTCCACGCGCAAGGAGCAGCAGCCAACTGTGTCCGCAGTCTCCCCTTCCTCCTTCTCATTGCCGGCTCGCAGGGCCAGCTGGAAGGAGACAACGAGTCATCCATCCCAGCCCTCACAATTCACCTTTCCAAGGTTAATGTGGACATGGACACCAGGGGGAAAAAAAAAAAAAGTGAAGAGAAAGCTTTCCCAGCACAGTGCCTCATTGAATGGCTGCTGGGACCCTGGTAGAAACCAAGAACTGACTGGCTCCAGCAAAAGATTAGTTCACTGCTCTAAGAAACCCTAAAATATTCCCCCCAGAATAAAGTTATCCAGCTCTCCAGTGGGGCCTTTGCCATCACACAGTCTGGTACAGTCCAGGAAGGACAGTACGGCTCCTGCACTGCCACACAACTGCATCTTCACACAAGCATCAGCAGACAGTAGGAGTCACCATCCTCCATGATCACTGCCAGATGCCTCATGAGGAGCAGCCCTGGCTAGTACAACCAGCGGACGCCAAAAAGAGTGGGGTGGATCAGGTACGCTAAATCCCAGCTTCAACAGGGATGGGGGGCCAGGGTGAGGCCGCAGATACCTTATCAATGAAGTAGAGGGCCACTGCTCTTTGCCGCTTCTTCATCTCCTTGGACTTCCAATCGGCTCGGTACTGAGAACGGATTTTGTGGACAACATCCTTTAAGCGCCGGGCTACCTCATACTTCTGCCAGTCTTTCTCCCCCTGGAAAGAGAGGCCAAGACCCAGTGCCCCATCTTCCTTCCACCCCTACCAGTCAGACCCTGTTCTGGGAACACCTCCAGCATCTAAACGCTGCTCAAACCCCATTGTTTTCTTGAGAAAAAAACATGAAGTGGAAAAATCAGAGCAGAAACAGATCATGTAGGGTTTCTGTGCCCTCTGCTGGCTGTGCTGGACCTGGGATCCTGGCCAAGTCTGAACTGCTCATAGTTTGGAGATGTCCTCTACCAGCTAGGAGCCAGCACAGAGCAAGTGAGGAGTCAAGTGGCCACGGCCACTGCTGCTTGGATACCACCAACGTGGACTGACACGATGCGCTTGCTCAGTTGTGCCCAACTTGCACGCACTTTCCTTATTTGCTTTGAGGACTGGAAGTAGCTTTAAATCACCTTTCCCTCCCCACCATGTTTGCTCCCTCCCATGGCACTACAGATGGTGATCCTACCTGCCCCTGCCCTCTGTTTACTGGCATAAATGAACTCAACCCCATAGACTCTGGTCCCTGTGGACCCTCTCTGCCCCTTCCTAGCTTTCAATAGCCTTCCCTGGACACACGTGAGCAGCACGGCACGGGGATGGCTCTGCCAGTAGCAATCCATCCCCTGGAATAGGCTGTATGCTTAAAAGTTCTCTGTCCTTTTCCCCTCACCACCCAATGGCATACCACTTAGTTTACCCCCTTTTTTTGGGGGGAGGAAAAAAAAAAGTACGTTTTTGTTGACGTGCCACATCTCTGCTTTCCCCTGATCTTTCCACTTGGCAAAAAGCCGGTGGCCCAACAGGCAACAGCTTTGCCTGAACAGCAGCATGACTCCAACCTTCAGCTTGGAGCTGGGGTTCAACATGATGTACTTCAAAGTGTTCTGGATGTTTTCCGTCCACGAGGCCAGCCAGGTAACCGTGTTGTCAAAGCGCACCTCCTTCCACTTGTGCCCTTCTGGTGGCTTGGGGATCTTGGAGTCCCTGCAGGCAGAGCAGGGTTACAGCCCTCAGACCATGAAGGAGAAGAAATGGGAATAGGTCATCAGCTCAACTGCTTCTTCACAGTGAGCCAAGGATGGTCAACGCATTGCAGCATTACTTACAAAAAACATACAGCCTGCCCAAAACTGCTCCACAACATGATCAGGTCTTTACCCTTTGGATGCTGGGGACAACGGGAGAACTTGCTGGGCTGGTGGGGAATGTTTTGAATCAAGGCCACAAGGTCTTCCTATGGGTGGTTTAAGACCGATCCAACATATGTCACTTAGAGAACAAACATTCTTAACCCAATCACTGCTTTTTCTCCCTCCAGTGAGGATCCTGATGCTTCCATCCATAAAATGAGGAGGAATGGCTTGTTTGGAAGAGGAGCACAGGAGAAGGAGTACAGAGTTGTCCCTTCTTCAGAGAGGCTGTAGGAGCACTGCAGTGTTTGCAGTTGATGTCAGGTGAACAGTGCAGGCACCAGTGAGATTTGGTAGCTGCTCAACAGCTTCCCTGGCCACTGTACATCCACAGAGAAACTGAAAGTCAGACCTAACTACAAAGCAGATATTTGGAGATGACCAGGAGGTGATAGAAGGGCTCCAGTGAGCTCAAGCCTGAGGGTGTGCAAAGCAGCGATTGTAGGAGATAACAGAATCCCACAGCAACTTGGGGCAGAGAAAATGTGCTGTTTACCCCAGTTCCAAAAGCAGCTCAGCTTTTGGGAGCTCAGCTCTTCCCGTGGCAACTCACTTGCTGCAGTTGATGATAACGTCTTCTGGCATGATCCTTTTCTTCAGCATGCCCATTTTGGGGTGGTCACCACGTCCACGGAACAGCCCCGGCGGCTCAGTTTTGAAGTTGCCTATCTTCTCCCGGTGCCCATCCAGGATGCAGTACCCATACTCCTCCTGGATCTTATCTGCCTCCTCCTTCAGTTTCTGAAATGAACACCATCCCACCATCACCCCACAAGATGAAACCAAAACCCCGTAACTTGTGCCTGCCTATCGCTACCCTCCTTTCCCTGGAGAAAGCAAAGCTGGAAAGGCAGAGCTCAAAGGATTGGAGAAAGAGGTGAGCATGGGTCCAAGTCCACTCCCAACTAATGGCTCATCTCCACCCACTTTGCAAACCCTCACAGTGATGCTGTCCCAGCATGATATGCTGATGGAACAAGCCTATGTGCCACCAGCCCCTTTGCAAAGTCCGCCATCCTCTGGACAGGGCAGGACCCCAAACCATGGTCTGAGGATGACTGGTATCCTGCAAAGCCATGAAACATGCAGCATCTGCAAATAAACTTAATGAAGAGGGGTGTGATGGTCATGGAGACGGAGCTAGTCCAAAGGCCAGAGGTCCCAGGTCAGGGTATAACACCAGGAAAGGAGACAAGCAGGAGCCAAAATACCCCAAGCTGGCCCCAAAACATATCAGCCCCAGATATCATAGGAAACAGTCCTCACCTGCTTATCCTCTTTGGAGAGTGCTTTCCGTGCCTCACTTTTGTCCACAAAGTACTTGTGGATCTCCGTGAAGTCGCACTTGTCCAGGTCCTTGATTATCTTCTGCTCCTTTGAGGTCATCTCCTGAGCAAGAGATGAGAGGGGCTGGATAAAGCCAGGAGGCAAAACCGACTCCGCACAGAGCTGCTGCCTATCCCTCTCCTTCACAGGACAGGAAATAAAGACCCACATGCCAGTTCTTCAGAAAAAAATCGAAAGGAAGCAGCCACCCCAGCTATCCTAACCACATCCACCCAAGGGCAGACAAAGCTGCCATGGTAGGAGGCCAGGCTGCTTCTGGACACCTGAGCCTGCACCAACAGAGAAGCAAAATGCAGCCAGACCTGAGGTGGAGCAACCTGTAACCTCTGCTGTGGAAACACGTGGTCCCCAAGCAGCTTGCAGGGACTGCAGAAGCAGCCCCAAAGATATTTGGAGGCATGTAAACTTGCCCTAGTAGGGGTCTTGCTTTTGTTTGAGGACTGAGCCGTGGTGCTGTGGGACCATGAGGTTAATCCTTCAGAGGGACAACATGCCCCAAACCGTCTGTGAAGCTGTTAGCAAGACCCAGCACCTGCTTTCTTAGGTAGCATCACTAAAACTCAGAGGGAGCACAAGTGCCAACGTGAAGCCCTCAAGGATGCTGCAGACAGCAAGCCCCAGACCAAACCCACAAGCAGCAAGGAAATAAATCATATAATTATGAGATTGTAAATTATATGATTATAAATAAAGAACTAAGCCACAAAAAACCTCATCCCCCCCATCCCACACTGCAGCCTGGGGATGACAGGTTTAATGCAGAGGGCGGACAGCAAGGAAGCCCTCACAGGGAAGATACCTTCCTCCAGTCGTTGAAGAAGTTGTTCTGGAAGATCTCCTTCGTCGTGTATTCATGATCGAGCATTTTGGCATAGAAGGTGGCAATTTCCTCCGTGGCCAGGCTCAGCTTCAGGGGTTTGCCTAGGAAGGGAGAGGACCTTTAGCATCAGTTATGGGGACAGCCCAACCCACCAGCCCCAGGCAGTTGTTCGGCCAGTCCTCACGCTCAACACAGTGCCAAAACAGGGACAAGGGGCGAGAACAGATACTGGCAAGACTTCAGCACCCCCCCGCACCAGGCACAGCCTCGTCTGCGGATCAATACCCAGAGCACTAGGCACAGCGGGATGCTGCCGCAACCCGTCCGCAATCACATCCTGCATTTTCTTTTCCAGGAAAGTGGAAATCCTGATTTATGTTAAGGTCACTGAGCCACAGGGCTTTCAGCAGCCACCATGCCATGATGAATCCCAAACTTCTGGCTCCACAGGACAACACAGAAAGGTTTGTTTTCTGACCATGCTGAATAGCCAGGATCCCACTTGGAGAGGTTTCATCTCAAATGCGGATGGAGCAATCATGCGAAGCTCAAAGCTGAGATTTGTGCAACAGATGCAGATGCAAGAGCCTCTCATGGTTGTCCAGTGGATCTTGGATCATTTCTTGGAGGTGGCAAATCCACCTGAGCTCTTTGGCTAGAGCAATGAAGTCTAGTGAATCCAAGGAACATCTTGGCTTTTCCTAAGAAACCAATACTTTGAAATAGCTTTTCTAGGCAAGCTGCAGGAAAAGCACCCTGCAGAGTTCCAGGGGACAGTTCAATCCTACCTGCACCAGACACTCTGTTTTTTGGCGTTCCTGGCCTCCACCTGAACTGCAGGGCATGGTGGGTCACAGCCTTATAGCAGCCCCATGACAACCTACATACACCAGCTCAGCCACGGTCCCTTCTAACTTGGGGTTGTTGCCTGTCCACAAACACTTTTTCATCCAGGAACAGTGACACCTTTTTGCAAACGAGCCAACGTCACCTGAAATCCCAGGCCAAAGCCACAGCCTAGATGCACGCAACACACAGATAGGTCTCCAACAGCTCAAAGGCCACAGAGAAGGTCCAAACCCTATGCAGGACTACATACAGCTGCCAGGGCTCCTCCTCCTAGAGTCAAAGTCTCCAACACCCCCCATCGATGTCCCAGCAGTGCCCTCTGGTGACAGCATTGCCAGGCACCTCATTTCCCCAAACTGGCCTTATATTTTTTCTACTGTAAAAAAACCCACAAGGTATAGGAAGCCCCAGTGAGGCGGCTGAGGAGAACCAAGTCCCCATGGAACTGTAGTGCCCTTCCATCTCCAGCATCCCTTGGTCAAGCCCTACAGTCCTTCTTGCCTCCCCCTTCCCTTGATCTGTCAGAAAACAGTTCAGGGATGGAGCTGAGAGCAGGGAGGAGAGAGCCCAGCAGGCACGGTGGAAAACCAAGGAGGACAGCAGAGACCTGATCTGCACTGCCAATCTCTCAGCCCCTTCACTGATGCATCGAGTTGCCGTAAGGCGATGCGTGGCAGCCCTAGGGACAACACGAGGAGCTGTGACCAAGAGCTTGGAGCAATCCAGCCAAACCCTGGAAGGTCTTGGAGGACATTATTTTTTACAATGAGAGTGGTGAAACCCTGGCACAGGTTGCCCAGAGAGGTGGTAGATGCCCCATCCCTGGGAACATTCAAGGTCAGGTTGGACGGGGCTCTGAGCAACCTGATCTAGGTGAAGATGTCCCTGCTCATGGCAGGGGGGTGGGACTACAGTGCCCTTTACAGGCGCTTCTCTGAGCAACCTGATCTAGGTGAAGATGTCCCTGCTCATGGCAGGAGGGTTGGACTAGATGGCCTTTAAAGGTCCCTTCCAACCCAAACTATTCTGTGATTCTAAGCAACACATCAGTCACTGAGGCCATGGGACAGGCAAACAGCATCTCTCATCAAAAGTAAAACCACATTTTCCCAGCTTGCAGTGAAACTGTGCATGAGCTGACTTAAAGCTCAAACCCCAAATCATCTTAATGAGGAAAAAAAAAAAAGTTTCTTTCTCCCCACCAGTCCATCTTTGCAAGAGGTACACAAGGACTTCAGGCAACAGCATCAAAATGCATTGCTTCCCCATCGAGAAACTTAGGGTCCAGCCCCCACCGCTGCACACCCCACGGCCAGGAGAGCCTGTGAGCAGAGGTGCAAGTCCCAGATCCACACACGGTTGCATTACAGCATCCTAAAACCAGCTGCAGGCAGCCGCACGGGAGCCTTCACCCTGCCCAGGGTGCTGCGCGTGGAGGGCGTGCACGAAGCACCCTGCAACTGTCAGGGGCTCATTAGCTCCCCAATAACCCCATAAGTCCTACCACGTGCAAAACCCTCCAGCTTTAACGCAGGGTTCAGGCTTTATCCAATGGGATATTTAGGCCCTTTAATAATTTGTGGTCTGCAATACTTCCCCCTTCCATACAAATGAAGATACTGGCTCTTCGGCCGGACAGAGGACAACTCCACATGCCCCAGGTTCCAGCGCAAGGCAGACGTACCATCGTAATAAAACTGCACATCATCAGGCAACGGCTCGTAGAGGGGGGCGAAGTAGGGTCCTCGGTGCTCCAGTTGTGTCCACTTTACGCCGTCTTCTTTCTTCTCCTCTTCCCACCTGGGACAGATGCACAGAGACCTGTGAGAGCATCCCCACCCTGGGGTCTGGGACCTTCTCCCAAGGTCACACCAGGAAGATGCTCTCTGACCAGCAAGGGTTGGCACAAAACCCAGGTGAAATCGTGTCGTCTCTGCTACTGCCTCAGTTTCCCCATTCTTTCAAACAAGGAAGACTGCAATGCAACCCAGGGAAAGGCGTGTTGAGGAAGGGGACATGCTCGGTGAAGTGACATGGAGGAACGTAGCGGGAGATGCGTCAAAGGGTGGATGCGTCAGCCTAATCCATGGGCAGAGGCACAGAGACCCCACCGCTGAGCCACAAAGGTTGCTCAGTTTGCACCAAAGAGGCTGCAAGGGCTAAAACACTCCCCACTTTCCTCCCCAGACCTCACTGCATTCTTTTTTTTTTTTTTTCTTTCAAAAGCACACAATAAAGCTCATGTGCATATTCCAGAGGAGGAGCTCACACCACACCATGTTCGTGGCTAGGAGACCACCACCCCCACCTATGATCTTAATGCAAATAAAAATCTTAAAGCACCTCTCCTCCCTGCAGAGCAATTAGGATTTTGAAGTCACCACCAGCCTTAGCTGAGAAATGATGATTTAAAAAACTTAAAATGTAAAAAAAAGAAAAAAAAAAAAAACAAAAAAAAACACACCCACCCTGAAGAGCAGAGAAATAACATTAAAAGAAGGTAACGCAGGTCAGGGCACAAGAAGCCCGCCGGAGAAGCGTTTGCTGTGGGACAGGCAAGGGATCTGCACCCTGTGGCTCAGAGCCAGCTGGGCTGGCACCGGCCCCTTAACCCCAACATCACCGGGAAAACGGGGATTGCTGGGAAAACACAGCAAGATTCCATCCTGGGGAAGAAAAACCCCTGTGTTTTCTTGCTCAGCAGCGCGCCGGAAGTATTTCCGACCTTTCCCCTCCCCACAGGAAGCCGGGTGGAATAAATCAATCGCATCGAAAGGTGCATTGTGCCAGGAAAAACATTAAAAAAAGATATTAAAGAAAAAAAAAAATCAACCAGCTGCAGAAAACTTGGCTGAAAGCTTCTCGGAGACACCGGCAAGGGTGATTTGCAGGACGCTGCAAGGGCTCTGCCTCTCCCCCTAAACCCACGCGATCCCCCATCCTGGCAAAGCATCGCCCCGCACTCACCTGCTGCAGCCCCCCGAACCCGGCCGGAGGCAAATGGGGGTCAGCCAGGGGTGACGGACCCTGCGGCCAAGAAACGGGGAGGCAAGACGCCGGTACATGCCACCGACCACCCACAGAGACAGCGAGGCTGGTGGATGCCCAAGTCACCCGGAACATCTTGCCCCGGCACCCCGCTACCCACCGGGGCACGGTGGTGGTGGTACCCGAGGCACCGCCATGAAAAGCCACCACAGTGTCCAAGTGGTCCAGGTCATGGCACTCCCCACGTGCCAAGGTAGCTTAGCTTTATGGGAAATGTAGTCCTGCACGTGTTTCGGGGCAAAACTGCTGCAAATCGAGCCTCTGTGCCAGGCTGCAGCCCCCCAAACAAGGCATTACTTAGCAAAAAAGCTGCATGGTCCCACTTTTCGTGCCACCCTGTGCCCCACAAGAGCTGTCCCAAAGGTCCAAGCACCCATGGGTATCCCTGCCTGGGATAACACCCTACTAGCTCCCCGCAGCCCGGGTTTGCAATAGGGTCCAAAGCATCCAGCCCCCTAAAATGCTCCTTCTCTGCCCCAGATATTGGGGTGCTCTGGGAGAGAGTGACACCAAGTGGCTAAAGCCACCGCTCCCTGCCACCTCAAAAAAAAAAGACAGCATCCATCAGCCTCGCCTATACACCTTTTCCCAATGCTCTCCTACCAAAAAGCTTGCCTGGATCATCCAAAAACTGCTGCAAAGGGGGAGGAAAAAAATTGCAGCCCCTTTGTATTCTCTACAACTCCCTCATATGGCTCCCGCTGTCTTGGAAGCTGTTTTATTACAGGGGGTTGTGGGGAATCATCTCCTTCCGCCAGCCACAAGCATCTCCCTTCCACGGGTGGGCACCAGCAAAGCCATTTCAGGAGGAATACATATTGTATATACTGTTTAAGAATAGAAAAACCTACTATACAAATACTATTGTGTATTTAGAACCTCCCATTATCTCTCACTCCCTTCCTCCTGCCAAGACTGCCGAGTTCAAGGCTTAAGAAAATACAGCAGAGGAGTTGAAAAATAGTAATAAAAACAGTTTTACCCTAAGAAATAAAACTAAAATAATAAAGAACAGTTTTACCCTAAGAAATAAAACTGAAATTGCATTAGTGTTAGACCTGCCCACAGGCCAAAGGCATGCAGGACACTTACCATTTCCACTTATTTTCTGCCTTTTCTTTCTTTTCTTCCTCTTTCTCCTCCTTTTTAGCCTTTTTGCTGTTCTTTTCTTCTCCTTCTTCCTTAGATTTCCTTTTCCGGGTTTTACCTGGGGTCTCCTCCTCTTCACTTTTCTCTTTGCTCTTCTTCCCCTTCTCTTTCATTTCCCCTTCTGGCTTTTTCTCCTTGATTTTCTGCTTTTTCTCTTTCCTTGGCACATCTCCCTTCCCTGCCTCATCCTCCTTCACCTCCTGCCCAATCTCTGTGCTCTGGGTCTCTCCCCATCTTTCATCCCCTTTCTCATCTACCTCCTCTTCCTCCTTCTTTACTCCTTTCCCATCTTCGTATTCCTTTCCCACCCCGTCTCTCTCCTCCAGTTCATCTCCCACTCCTTTCTCTCCTTCCTCCTCATCTGTCTTCTCCAGCTCTTGCTCCTCTTCCAACATTTTTTCCTTCTTTATTTTCTTCTTCCCCATCTTCTCCTCCCCCTCCATTTTTACCTTCTTGCGCTTCTCTGCTTTCCCCTTCTGCTTTTGCCTCCCATCACCCCGTGCCTGGGTGCTGCTGCTCCCTCGCTTGGCTCTGCCCCCTCCCGCTGCCCCACTCCTGTCCCCATCAGCACCCTCCTCCTCCTCCTCGATGCCCTCCATCACATCCCCAGGACTTTCCTCAAATTCATCCTTCTTGCTCCCTCCTTTTCTCAGCAATCCCTTTTCCTGCTGCTTCCTTTGCTCTTGTTTCCTCTCTCTTTCTTTTTTCCTTTTCAGGTCTTGGGCATCCCCTCGCTGCTGTGGGACAGGGGGGTCCAGCTCCTTCTCCTCACCCTCCCTCATAGTGGTGATGTCCACATCCATCTCCAAACCCCCAGGCTCTCCGGAAAGGGATGCAGCCCCACCAGCAACATCATCACTTGGCTTTGGGACCTGTGGGAAGCAGCCAGAAGAGAAGAAAGGTTGAAGCTGGGAAAGGAGAGCGATTATCCCAAAGCCCAAGCACATAGAGAAGGTGCTAAGGGATGTGCCCCATGCAGGATTAGGTCCAGGGGGTGACAGTCCCCCCCTGGGTTTCCTACCCCCACTCCAGCCTTGGTCGCTGAGAGCTGCCATCCTGCTCTCCGGGGTTTGCGCTGTGACCTACAACAAAAGCACAGCCAAGTGCATTGGTGAGGAGCAGCCTCCACCTCTTCCATGCAAAATTAGGAGATCGTTCCCAAATGATCCCATGTTTCCCTTTGAGCATGGCAGCACTCCAGGTGCTGCAACAGATGGAGATATCCCAAAGCAGCAGTGAGCAGCCCCCGTAGGAACTGGCCCCAGGTTGCAGTTCACAGGATGACGAAGCTCAAATGAGCAGGACCACAAGGTCTCCAGATCAAATGGGGGAGGCCTCAAGGAAATGTCCCCAGGGACACCTCTGCCCAGAGAAGGGGACAGGTTTGCAAGGTTTGGCAGCGCCAACAGGACAGATGGCATCAGGCTGAGCACCGTGGATGCACTGGAGGAGGAGGAGACCTTGTGATGGGACATATCTCCTGGGACTGTGGGGACAGGCTCCCCCACTCTCCTCTCCCGAGGAGGCGGCCCGAGCATTGGCATGATGGGGAAGGACACAGCCTCATAATCACAACAAGCTGCAGGACCAGGAATGTCTAGGTCCGTGACCTTCGTCATCAGGAATATGGGTGGGGAACACAGGAATGTTTCCTTGGTCAGCAAAGAGGTCAGGGAGCTCTGTGGGACATGCAAACATTATAAAACACCAACCTGCTCCTATAAACTACTTTCTCCTGAGCCTTCTCCAACCCAGGCAGGGAGTTGGGAACCTCATCTTTGAGTTTCTCATGTTCCAGAAAAGCAAACCAAGAGATGAACGAGGGAGTAGCATGCACAGCCTAAACCGAGCCTACATCTTGTAGGTTGAGCCTACATCTTGTAGGTTGAGCCTACATCTTGTAGGTTGAGCCTACATCTTGTAGGTTGAGCCTACATCTCCACAGGGTTGAAGTGATGGTGTCCCCTTGCCCACAGGGAAACTTGGGGCTGTCCCTGCTTGGTCATTGCCACCTCCCAACTGAATGAGATGCCCACCAGGCTGCAGAGCATCACATCCCCAGCTTGTGGTTAGCACCACCACAAAAAAAAACCCCAAACTTATCCAGGCCAGCAGGTCAGGGCAGCAGATGAAAAGCAACCGAGAGCCACATTCCTCCAGCCCATGCCCAGCAAGCTTGGAGCTGAGGTCAGACCCATTGCCTGCCTCTCCCCCCTCCCAGCACCCCACAGCAGGACCAGTTTGAAAGCATGGCCGGCTACCCTGATGCCACTAGGAAGGAGCTGGGAAGCCAGGTTTCTCCTTCCAAGGAGGGTGGTGACATGCTCTCCTGCGCGTCCAGGTGAGCGCAAACAGAGCAGAGCCACAATTTCTGCTTTTAGCCAAAACATCCCGCAGACAACATTTCTGCAACAGAAAAGGAGATTTTTGGCCCTTTTCTAAAAGATCGTTTAGGCTGATGCTAAATTACCAGGCTGCTGGGCATCAGAGCAACGCGGGGCTCAGGAAAGCCTTCGAGCCTGCTTGGGATGGAGGCAGCAAGTTCCCCCCAAAAAAAAAACAATCCAGGGGCCGGATGCTTTTTCCGCACAGCCGGAGCACGCGTTACACAATCTCCACTAAACTCATTAGGGCAAACGGTCCGGCAAAACACGCTTAGCCCCTCCAATCTCATTAGCAACCGAGCACTAGCAGATTCATGACTCAGAAGGCAAAGTCCTGCCGCCTTTTGGGATCGGCTTCCTTCCCAGAAGGTCTTATTAGAGGCCTCTCACCGGACATGAAAGCCCCTGCCCCTACGACGCAAAGAGATTTAGCCTGCTAAGGGACAGCTTTATGAATTCAGGTTCCTATCTCTGCCCAGATCTAGCATGGGGCGAGGAAGAGAAACACCCTTTTCCCAGGCTTTGCGAGGTTGTCCCCACTAGCATTTCCCCACCGCCTACCTCCGTATTTATGTAGGTATGTGCATCTGGGCGATCGTGCCCTGCTGACTCCAGCATCCTTGGGGAGGTTGGATGGGACCAGGAGCCTCCCTCTCCACCCTCAAATCCCAGGATGGGGGCCTCAAATTCCACTTGCGATGTTTTTGGCAAGCTTTAAGGTCACTGAAGACATCAGGACGTGGCCAAGCTGCCCAGTGAAGGCATCAGCAGCAGGGTGGTCTCAGTGATGCAGGAGGGAAAACCAGGGCTGTGCAACCCCATGGCAAGAACAGAAAGGACAAATTTGCAGTTCTCTGGGCACAAAGCATTCAGAAAGTGGCCCAACTTGCCTTGAAGAGTCTTTCAGCCCCACTGATGGCCCTTGGTGGAGGGTTGATTCAGTCTCCTCCTGAAAAATATTAACAGTGTTGATCTGGGAGAGGTTAGCTGGCATGGGTACCCCAACAGCAGCATTCACCCCCAAGCAATCACCCAGCCCCTGCGATGGCAGCCAGCCAGGCCACAGTACCCATGTCCCCCTGACATCGGCCTTCCCCTTCCTCAGCCACCTTGGCTAGAAACCAGGAGCCCAAAATGGGAGGCTTTTCCAAGCATGAGGAGAACTTTGATGTTTTATGGGGTTAGGAAATCCCTGTCTTACTTCCAACGACACTGAAAAGGTATTTTATAGAGGAAATACATGAAAACTATCCCCCCTCCTCAACTATCTGCTCATTAGATGCTTTGCTGCTCTCGGGGACAGCAGTCCAGAACAGCAGAAGAGATGGGAGGGCTCCAAAACAAAGATGCATCAAATGACAGCTTACATGCATCCACGCCAGCTTGGTCCTTAGAAGATTAAATGATCCTTTGTAGCAGATGGCAAGAGAGGGCAAAGCCACAGGGTGGGGAATGCAACAAGGGTGAAGAGAGGGCAAGGAAGAGAAGGGCAAGGAGAAAGAAAATGCAAAGCATAGGGAAAATGGGGACAGGACCTAGGAGAAAATGAGCTCAGAGGAGGCTCGAACAGAGCCGTAAGAGCTGACCTACGGTGGCCACCAGAAATATTATCACACTGTTTGCACGCTTGTTTTCAAAGCCAGGCTCTTCTGCTGCTGGCCGCTGCTACGTCTAACCACGCAGCGCCCTGAAACCCATCCCAGCTTCACCCGACGCTTGCCAAGCATCTAGGCTCTCGTTATAAATTCTGACTTCCCCAAGTTTCTCTTTCGAAGGCTTTCAAGGGAGGCCAAAACCACACAGGGATTTTTCTTGAAAGCTGCTGCTGAAAAGCTGCTAGGTTAACTCATTAAGGCGGGGGGGTGGTGGTGGAAAACGAGTTAATTATAGGTTGGTTATGACAATATATACTTTCGCTCCCTGGGAATACGCCTGCTCTCAAATTCACAATCCTTCAGCTGCTGTCAGAAATCAGGTTGGTAAATTCAGGAGCAGACAGCCACGATCTTCCAAAAAAAAAAAAAACAAACCCAAAAAAACCAAAACCTGCATGCAAATGCCTGGCACTTGCACCGGGAACACCGGCAATACCAGGACACCAACCACAGGCACCCTTGGGGGGTTTCAAGGCTGTAGCTCTGATCGTATCCATCCAGGAGAGTTTGCTGACATTTCAGACACTGTTTGCAAGATGAATGGAGACTCACCATAGGGAAGGGAAAAAGCATCTCTGCTGGTTTTACCCACCAAGAGGACGAGTGCAATATGTTCATGTGGGCAAAGCAAAATATACAGGGAACCAGCCAGGATGCGTGCTCTCCAGCATCGTCCCAAGAACAGCAGTGAAGCTCAAATGCCTCAGAAAGGGATGCTGTCAGGATGAAACCAATCCCAACCTCATGCTTGGGAAGCGATGGAGTCACCTGGGTCCTGGTGCTCCCTGTTAGTGCCAGCTTGCGCTCTTGGTCCAACACCAAAATGTGACTGATTCAACCCCAATACATCTGAGCTTCAGGCAATTTACTCTTTAATTTAATTCAAGATACTCGAAGGATCCCTTTTAGGGGCTTGCACATAACTACAAGTGGTGGTAGGACACCATCTCACAGCTCCCTTTAGAACAAACCAGTGCTCCTTAACCCTTCGGCGCAGAGACCACCACGTACCAACCCAGATGCAGCTCCTTCCTCTGCTTGTATCCCATCCCGCAGGCTCAAGCCGAGACCTTTCCCTTCTGCAGC